AACTTACAATCGAGTTTAATCGGACATGATTTTGATTGTGAAAGAAGAAACTTCTATCGAAAAGCACTTATGTGAAATGGACCACAGAGTACTTTGGGGTAAATCTAAAATTACTGCTGAACCCCAGAGTTTATAAACAAATAAATCTTAGAGAATATATAGAATTGTATAGTAAAAATACTTCAACAGAAAGGTCAGAATCTTTGTTTCGGGTACTTAATGATTTTGATACTTTAATTAATTACTACCGTACTTAATGATTTTGATACTTTGGTAGTAATTAATTAAAGTATCAAAATCATTAAGTACGGTAGTAATTAATTGGGTAAAATTTTTAAAGGGAGAAAAAGGAGCTTATTAGCCCATCAAGGATGTCCCTTCCACCTCCCGACTATAACCACTCCTTACTACTCGTGTATTAATCCAACTTGAACTCCGTTAAATTTTCTGCATCCACCACCCCATGAAGACAGCTCATTCCAAAAACCAATCAACCACCCTGTTTGAAAAGTAATACTGTCTAAACTGCAGGCGACTTGTACGCTGCCAAAATTTAAATTTATGACCCCTTGTCCTATTGTTATCACTGCTAAACACAAAAAAGTTCGAATCTATATCATCAATACCCTTAATAATCTTATTAACCACCTCAATCAAATCCTCTCTGACCCCCCCCCCCTCCTCTCTAGATAAAACAAGCTTAGAGATTTTAGTCTCTCCTAAACTTGAGGAAGGGAGCCCAAAACTGTACACAGTACCCTAAATGAGTGATCTATACAGTGAAACAATAATATCCCTTGTCTTGTATTTAGTATTTCTATAGATGCTACCTACAATACACTGTTTTTTGTTGTTTTTTTTTCAATCACAACACCAAGATCTTTTTCCTCAAACACAGTATTTAATATATTCCCATTTAAATTGTAACAATAATTTGAATTGTGAAAACTTAAATGCATTAACTTACATTTTGGATAGTTAAACATCATCTTTCATGTATCGGCCCTATGCATCAAATGATCTAAATCTCCCTGTAAGTCTGCAGTATCTTTGATGCAGTTAGCCACCTCAAAAATGTTAATGTCATCTGCAAACTTCAAAATTTTGTTAGTCATTCCAGAGTCAATATCATTAATATAAATAAATCACAAAGAGCAGAGGACCCAGCACAAAGCCCTGAGGCACACCACTTGTAACTGTGATCCAGTTAGATCTAACTCCATTTATTACTACTCTCCAGCCAATATTCCATCCAATTTAATCTAACGAGTCATGTGAGGCACCATATGAAATAGGAGGGATCGTAATGAAACAGAATGGCGACCTTAAAAATCGCCCGTTTAAAACCTCATTTAAAATGTCTGAATAATAACAATGACTATTTTACACTATTGGCTCAACAAAACTAAAGCTTATAGTACTTATAAAGGCCGCCTAAATCGATGTATACGTGTTTATAAAGCGAATAAAAAAGTTCATTATATCAACGAACTTTTATCTAAGTATGTAAGTAAGTGACTTTTCCAGATTAGCGTACAGAAAAAATGACGATATCTATCGCTCTAATTCTTTCACAGAACTCTTCCATGTATGGTCCCAATGATTCCCGTTTTGTACCGAAAATGTGTATAAACACTCACTAGTATATATACCAGTATACTATATACCTAGCTAACTATAGTAATATCGAAAGTTTTAATGCTACAAAATTTATTCCAACAAGAATGTCAAAACCACAAAAACTGAGTTCCTTAAAATTAAAAAACAATTTTATTCCTACTTTGGCATATCACTGCAATTATGTTAGTCTGAAACAAAGCAGAGATTTTTTTTTAATCTTAAGTAACTCTGTTTTTGTGGTTTTGACTTTCTTGTTTCAATACTTTTTGTATATCATTTAAACTTTCTATAGCTAGCTAGCTAGCTAGGTTACGTAAATATCCATCCCTATAAAATGTAAACTTTTTTTTTTATTATACTTGTTTATGTAACATTTTAAAAGAATATATATCGGTGATGATGTCCAAGGTTTGAAATCCCTGAAAAAGAGCTTGAAATATATATATATAAGCAAAAGGGGGCTGCAACGTTCAAATAACTACACAATAAATATTTTATTAAAAACAGGGACCAGCCCTAAAAAGACGTGTTTCGGTGATCTTACGCCACCATCTGCAATTATTTTAACGTTGTAACCCCTTTAATTGTTTATGTAATATTTCACAAGTGCCTTTTTAATTTATTAGTTTGAAACATGTAAAAGTTAAAATTTTGTATTTATGAATCATTGAGTAATTAAACAATAAAAATGGAATTCCTAGAATAGTTAATGTAGGTTTTTTTTTGTTTTAAACTACTGTTCAATCTTGTGTGTTAAAACGTGCTCTTCCTTAAAACAAGGTAAATGTCAGTATCTTCAAACCAGTACTAGATACATCAGACACTTAATTCTGATTGATGGAGTAATATCTTACTATCCAACCTGAAAATAAGAATTATTTGTAAGAACCAATTCATTAGTGAGATTCAAGTATCTTACACCATGGTACAAAATCACCAGCCCGCATGAAAAGATTTTGCTTTTTTGATAACAAATCACTAACCGATATCAAAAGATCATAGTCTTAGATAACAAATGTAACTATTGTGAAAAAAAAAGTTATCTCTCTCTCTCTTTGATAATACAAATGACTGCCGATTAAACGCTAGATATTGTAGATTCTTCTCGTATGTTCTATAGTTGCTAGAAACAACCACATCTTTTAACATTAAACGCTAGGTCTTATAGATTCTTCTCGTATGTTCTTTAGTTGCTAGAAGCAACCACATCTTTTAACATTAAACGCTAGGTCTTATAGATTCTTCTCGTATGTTCTTTAGTTGCTAGAAGCAACCACATCTTTTAACATTAAACGCTAGATCATATAGATTCTTCTCGTATGTTCTTTAGTTGCTAGAAGCAACCACATCTTTTAACCTAATAATTTACTGATTATTCTAGGTTACCTACTTTTTAAAGAATATTGTGAAACTCTCTACGATGAGCCTATTCCCCATGTACAGTTTTACGAAGAGGTAAGCAGTTTTTTGCACATTTAAATAATTTTTGATGATCATAAAACATACTGTATTGGTTTTTTTTTAATATTTTGATTCTGTTGTTGAATTGACATAATTTCAGAAACATGTTATGTTCAGATATTAAATACGCTTCGGGAAAAAGCCTAGCTTATAAAAACAAGAGTATATTTATAGAGTCAATTAAAATTTGCACGAGATAACCTGGAACCCAGTTAGTCTTTCAGACGTTATTTTGCCGAGTTACGAGAGTCTCACGTATATGTATGTAGATTATTTAAAGTGAGTATAGGCTTAACTTGGATATTTTAAATGCATTATTACCAACAGTAAACTAACACACCCTGTATTTACAGGCTGAAATATTATGTTTTATAAATTTCAAAGTTCTCATTTAAATATCATTTTTCTATTCATCTTAATTAAATATAATACATTCGAGTTATGTATGGAAGAATGAATGCTAGATGGATAAAATTCAACACTATAACATTAGGACATTTTGTAGTCAATTATAATTGGCTGAGACTTTTTTTTTTTTGCTTATTTAGAATTCGACGACGTAGTTTATACTTGCACGTCAAACTTTTATGATAGCTTTAATGTTCTTATTTGTATTTTTCTTGCAATTTCGAATATCGACTCGACCTATTTATAACATCTACATATCATTAAGTGCGATAGTACCTAATAGTAGGGATCGTGATGGAACAAAATGGCGGCCTTAAAAATCGCCCGTTTAAAATCACCTTTAAAATATCTGAATATTAACGATGACTATTTCACAGTATTGGCTCATCACAACTAAAGCTTATTGTAGTTATAAAGCTGTTTCGATCGTTATATAAGTGTTTGTGGAGTTAATCAAAATTTTACTATTTCAACAAATTTTCTTCTTAAGTGAGTAACTGACTTTTCCAGTTAAGCATACAGAAAAAATGTCCAACCTTACTGCTCTAACTCTTTCACAGAACTCTTCAATATAAAGTCCCAATGATTCCTTTCTTGTACCGAAAAGGATATATATGTAATGTATGTATGTATGTGTGTGTATATATATATATATATATATATATATATATATACA